GTGAATTGCAGAACGTCAGATTTTTGCAGAAATTGTGACCGCGCGGGCTTAGGGATTTTTTCATAAAAACGTTGCTCATACGTCGAGGGCTAATTCTGTTTCTGATGATGAAAATCCATCGGTTTCAACCAGAAAGCATTTCAGGGGTTCGTTTGTAACAGTTTGGCACCATTTTTGAGTGAATTGCAGAACGTCAGATTTTTACTGAAATTGTGACCGCGCGCTTAGGGATTTTTTAAAAAAAAAGTTGTTCAGACGCCGAGGGCTAATTCTGTTTCCGATGATAAAAACCCATCTGTTTCCACCGAAAAACCTTTCAGGGGATCGTTTGCAACAGTTTCGCACCATTTTTGAGTGAATTGCAGAACGTCAGATTTTTGATGAAATTGTGACCGCTGCGGCTTAGGGATTTTTCAAGAAAACGTTGTTCAGACGTCGACGGCTAATTCTGTTTCCGATGATAAAAATCTATCGGTTTCCACAGGAAAGCATTTCAGGGGATCGTTTGCAACAGTTTGGCACCATTTTTGAGTGAATTGCAGAACGTCAGATTTTTGCTGAAATTGTGACCGGCGTGGCTTAGGGATTTTTAAGAAAAAGTTGTTCAGACGTCGAGGGCTAATTCTGTTTCAGATGATAAAAACCCATCTGTTTCCACCGAAAAACCGTTCAGGGGATCGTTTGCAACAGTTTGCCACCATTTTTGAGTGAATTGCAGAAGGTCATATTTTTGCTGAAATTGTGACCGCGCGGCTTAGGGATTTTTCAAAAAAAGTTCTGCTGTTCAGACGTCGATGGCTAATTCTGTTTCTGATGATAAAAACCCATCGGTTTCCACCGAAAACCATTTCAGGGGAACGTTTGCAACAGTTTGGCACCATTTTTAAGTGAATTGCAGAACGTCAGATTTTTGCTGAAATTGTGACTGCGCGGCTTAGGGATTTTTTCAAAAAAACGTTGTTCAGACGTCGAGGGCTAATTCTGTTTTTGATGATAAAAACCCATCCGTTTCCACTGAAAAACCTTTCAGGGGATCGTTTGCAACAGTTTGGCACCATTTTTAAGTGAATTGCAGAACGTCAGATTTTTGATGAAACTTTGACCGCGCGGCTTAGGGAATTTTTCAAAAAAAGTTGTTCAAACGTCGAGGGCTAATTCTGTTTCTGATGATAAAAACCCATCTGTTTCCACCAGAAAGCATTTCAGGGGTTCGTTTGTAACAGTTTGGCACCATTTTTGGATGAATTGCAGAACGTCAGAGTTTTGTTGAAATTGTGACCGCGCGGCTTAGGGATTTTTTTCAAAAAAAGTTGTTCATACGTCGAGGGCTAATTCTGTTTCTGATGATGAAAATCCATCAGTTTCAACCAGGAAGCATTTCAGGGGTTCGTTTGTAACAGTTTGGCACCATTTTTGAGTGAATTGCAGAACGTCAGACTTTTGTTGAAATTGTGACCGCGCGGCTTAGGGATTTTTTCAAAAAAACGTTGTTCATACGTCGAGGGCTAATTCTGTTTCTGATGATAAAAACCCATCTTTTTCCACCGACAAACATTTCAGGGGATCACTTGCAACAGTTTGGCACCATTTTTGAGTGAATTGCAGAACGTCAGACTTTTGTTGAAATTGTGACCGCGCGGCTTAGGGATTTTTTCAAAAAAACGTTGTTCATACGTCGAGGGCTAATTCTGTTTCTCATGATAAAAATCCATCGGTTTCCACCGGAACGCATTTCAGGGGATCGTTTGCAACAGTTTGACACCATTTTTCAATGAATTGCAGAACGTCAGATTTTTACTGAAATTGTGACCGTGCGGCTTAGGGATTTTTTCCAAAAAAAGTTCTTGAGACGACGAGGGCTAATTCTGTTTCCAATTATAAAAACCGGTCTGTTTCCACCGAAAAACCTTTCAGGGGATTGTTTGCAACAATTTTGCACCATTTTTGAGTGAGTTGCAGAACGCCAGATTTCTGATGAAATTGTGACCGCGCGGATTAGCGAATTTTTAAGAAAAAAATGCTGTTCAGACGTCAAGGGCTAATTCTGTTCCCGATGATAAAAACCCATCTGTTTCCACTGAAAAACCTTTCAGAGGTTTGTTTGGAACAGTTTGGCACCATTTTTGAGTGAATTGCAGAACGTCAGATTTTTGCTGAAATTGTGACCGCGCGGCTTAGGGAATTTTTAAGAAAAAACGTTGTTCATACGTCGAGGGCTAATTCTGCTTCTGATGATAAAAATCCATCTGTTTCCACCGAAAAACCTTTCAGGGGATCATTTGTAACAGTTTGCAACCATTTTTCAGTGAATAGCAGAACGTCAGATTTTTGCTGAAATTGTGACCCCGCGCGCGGTAGGGATTATTACCAAAAAAAGGTGTTCAGACGTCGAGGGCTACTTCTGTTTCCGATGATAAAAACCCATCTGTTTCCACCGAAAAACCTTTCAGGGGATCGTTTGCAACAGTTTGGCACCATTTTTGAGTGAATTGCAGAACGTCAGATTTTTGCTGAAATTGTGTCCGCGCGGCTTCGGGATTTTTTCATAAAACGTTGTTCAGACGTCGAGGGCTAATTCTGTTTTCGATGATAAAAACCCATCTGTTTCCACAGAAAAACTTTCAGGGGATCGTTTGCAACAGTTTGGCACTATTTTTGAGTGAATTGCAGAACGTCAGAGTTTTGTTGAAATTGTGACCGCGCGGCTTAGGGATTTTTTTCAAAAAAAGTTGTTCATACGTCGAGGGCTAATTCTGTTTCTGATGATAAAAATCCATCGGTTTCCGCAGGAAAGCATTTCAGGGGTTTGTTTGTAACAGTTTGGCACCATTTTTTAGTGTATTGCAGATCGCCTGATTTTTGCTGTAATTGTGACTGCGCTGCTTTTGGAATTTTTCATAAAAAAGTTGTTCATACGTCGATGGCTTATTCTGTTTCCCATGATTAAAAACCATCTGTTTACACCGAAAAACCTTTCATGTGATCGTTTGCAACAGTTTGGCACCATTTTTGAGTGAATTGCAGAACGCCAGATTTTTGATGAAATTGTGACCGCGCGGCTTAGGGATTTTTTCAAAAAAGTTGTTGAGACTTCCACTGCTAATTCTGTTTCTGATGATAAAAACCCATCTGTTTCCACCGAAAAACCTTTCAGGGGATCGTTTGCAAAAGTTTGGCACCATTTTTGAGTGAATTGCAGAACGTCAGATTTTGATGAAATTGTGACCGCGCGGCTTAGGGAATTTTTCAAAAAAAGTTGTTCAGACGTCGAGGGCTAATTCTGTTTCTGATGATAAAAACCCATCTGTTTCCACCAGAAAGCATTTCAGGGGTTCGTTTGTAACAGTTTGGCACCATTTTTGGATGAATTGCAGAACGTCAGACTTTTGTTGAAATTGTGACCGCGCAGCTTAGTGATATTTTCCAAAAAAAGTTGTTCAGACGTCGAGGGCTAATTCTCTTTCCGATGATAAAAACCCATCTGTTTCCACCGAAACACCTTTCAGGGGATCGTTTGCAACAGTTTGGCACCATTTTTGAGTGAATTGCACAACATCAGATTTTTGCTGAAATTGTGACCGCGCGGCTTAGGGATTTTTTCAAAAAAGTTGTTCAGACGTCGAGGGCTAATTCTGTTTCAGATGATAAAAACCCATCTGTTTCCACCGACAAACCTTTCAGGGGTTCGTTTGCAACAGTTTGGCACCATTTTTGAGTGAATTGCAGAACGTCAGATTTTTACTGAAATTGTGACCGCGCGGCTTAGGGATTTTTTCAAAAAAACGTTGTTCATACATCGAGGGCTAATTCTGTTTCTGATTATAAAAACCCGTCGGTTTCCACCGAAAAACCTTTCAGGGGATCGTTTGCAACAGTTTGGCACCATTTTTGA